GCCTTGAGTGGAATTCGAACCCAGGATCACAGTGTTGGATCGGGCGAAGACATTTCCTGCTGTAGACAATGCGGCCATTGTGATCGGCTCATCTGATAATTTTTTTTCCTTGGCACTACAGCCCCAGTGGGCCTAGGCCTACCTCCATGCACTTCTCCGTTCACTTCGGTTTTTCTAGATCTTACACATTCGGTAGGACTCCTTGGGCGGGTGATCAGCTCGTCGCAAGGCCTCTACCTGCACACAAACATCCATGCCCTGAGTGGGATTCGAACCCACGATCCCGGCTTCCGAGCGAGCGAAGACAGTACATGCCTTAGACCGCTCGGCAACCGTGACCCGCTCATCTGATATTAATTAATAATATAGAGGTTTCGGACCTGTATGTGCTCTTGGATCCGTGAAATGGCTGTGTGTGTGCTGTACTGAAGCTTTTTGAGGCGATGGGCATATAAATGTTCAGTTGTTTATATTAAACTTGTTTACACTGAACGGTTGTCATTCGAAAGTTAATACAAGTTTAACGGCGAATATGCCTGGTGTTAAATGCACGTAATTTCTTAAGCAACTAAACGGCTATGAGCTTCTAAAGAAAGACTTTGTTGAATATAGTCATTTGGTTATCGTGGTGTACGAATAAGCGAATAGCACGGCACGCTGTACAAAGGTTCCTTATAATGTAGTGTCGGCCCTTCCCAGTAGTATCCATGCTGTTTAACCCTTGGCATAATATTGCAGCTCTTTTGCGGACGGGAGTTGAGAAGGCAGGAGTCCGTCATGCTGTTTCACTATTGATCCTATTGCTCGAATGTTATAAATACTGCCTACCCAAGTCATTACGTTGCTTGCCAACTGGACCAATTTGCGTGACATCTTGATGACACAAGTTGGAAGTGCACTTAAAGTTGATTCACGTGTGGATCTCTTGAAAAACTGCCAGAAGTCAGTTCCACATGTAAGTTGGAATTTAACAGGATAAATATAGGGCAAGAAAATATCGTTCTTCAGGGCGATATCCTGCCGAGAAAAAAAGGTTCAAACTGCGCTGTCGTGCTTCTGATTAACCCCACAGAACGTCCGTCGTAATCTTCGTAGACTCAGATGATGTTGGATTAGTCTAAACTGTTTTCAATAGACGTGAAGCATACAATTCATGAATGTGATGTACAGATTAAAATGTACTCCCATCCTTACAACCCAGTACCCAAATAGCCATGTTAATTATATTCTCTAGTCTCCTTCTGGTCTTTCAAGCGGTCTTCCAAGAGGCTTCCCCACAAAAATTCTGTATATTTTACTTATTTCCTTCATCTCGGCTGCTCGTGTAGTCCTTCGCAGGCCCTACATTTCATTATCGTAAAACACTAAGTTCACTCTTGAGCAACGTAACTCGTTCAAATGGTGTCCAAATAGAGAAGGAGTTACAAATGCGCCAACCATTTGAGGACAAAAGCCCAAATGGCGTAATTGCCAGAGTGCGGTCCCCGTGTGGAGACGGGGTCGAATACCTCCACCGTGGCCCTGCGAGTCGTAGGAGACGACGTAAAGGGAATCTCAAATCTGAGACAGTAAAATATTGTCTCGAGTCCCAAGGGACTAACCCGAGAAAGCCTGCACTGGCAAGGGCCAGCAGCATATACAAAAGGCAGACCCGTCCTCTCATGAGAGACCGTAAATACCAAACAGTAATAAATATCTGGTCATGACCCCCACAAGGGGTTCGACTCCAAGACTTACTGACTGACTGACCGTTAGTCGCAATGTGACTTGGACTTGTCAGAGTGCGGCTTGATAAACCGACCGACCGACGAACCGAGCAACCGACCAGCCAACCAATCAACCAGTCAACCAGTATTGCCCTTATGTTGTGTGTTTGTACTGCATAATGTGGAATGAAGCATTATCCTAGTACTCTACAAAATCTTTCACATGCTGAACGCAAAGAGCAATGAAGTGGGAAACATGAAATTTCTTGGCATTTCGAGAGACACAGCAGCAGAAAACATACCAGTACAAATTAAATTATATTGTCATGTGTAATGGGGTTAGCATGACCAATAATAATGGGTTCTGGATTCCATGAATTTTTGGCTCATCTTTACAATTGCAATTAACTATGACAGCTCACAATCAGTGGCTGTTTACGACTTGCTCCAATTCTTGCTGGACCATGAATATGTCACTGATCTCGGACTTATCTGAATCTTCTGAATTTACGAATGAACTCCCTTTTATAACTGCCACGCGGCCCGAATAGAAGTCACCATGTCGAACAGTTAATTGTTCTCTGTTATTCTGTTTGTTGTCTGTTAATATTCCTTGCGCGGAAGCAGATGTTTGCCTGCCGTTGCCTAACAAATTAATTTCCGCTTCTGCTGCTGTTCCGGCATTTAGGCGAGGTTTACCGAGCCGTTGCCTAGCAACGGATTATTCCGTCACAATAAATATGTGTATTTTTATGGGAGCTCCAAAGAATTGCAGTCAAATGAAGCAAATTCCCTCTGGGCATATACTCGTATATTGAAGTTACAGATAGATGCATTATTCTCCTAGACTGAAAGACAGCGTAATGCTGAAGGTTACTGTCTTCTGAGGTATGACGCCATATAGTCTGGTGGANACAGCAATTTTCATGGTCACTATATTGAGAACGTCAAATCTCACAGAGTAATAAACTAATCCTACTTACCAAAACATAGTTAGCCTAAGAGTAGCGAGATTGATGTATCCCATTTTTGGAATTTCCAGGCCTAGTGGGTGCAAAATATTGTTAGGAGAGGCGAAAGCAGGTTGGGTGTTATGTCCACCATATCACCCCCTTGTGTGCAGTAGGCACTGAAATGTGATACGCGTGTTCCGCCGACCTCTGACTCCAGCTCTCTCTTGGGATCTCCGGGAAATGCTCTCTAATAGGCAGAACCATTACCAATCCATTACATGAACTACAGTGGCAGAGCACAGAACCAAATATAGCGTAAAATAATGGTACAGAACGTAACCCAGAAGTACTTCATTCAATCCTTTTGAACCGTTTCGGTGATTTTGCTATATCTGATCACAAAATATGCCTTATTTTTTAGTGTTTCGAAACAACAGACGTCGTTCCATTGGACTCCTTTAGTCAGCTCCGTCTCTTCCGCCCTTAACTGAATTCTGATTGAGTATTTTGTAATGGTATGAGTGTAATGCCACTGGGGTTAATCCCATCCTTATGCTCTTCAATTTTCCGATTATCTGTCTTCAACGACAACAATTTTGGTGGCGGTGTAAATTTGTGTGTTTGGAACAAAACTATTTCTGTGTAGGATTGAGGTGGTGATTATGAATAATTCTATCTTCTGGGCTATGATGTCATGTAATTCGTTAAAATGTACCGACGTTTCGGAGGAACATATCGCCTACTTCATTGTCGAAGAATAATCTCTACTTGGAACCTACTTTCACTCTGGTTTCTTGGTTGTTTTATTCCTTGCCTTAGTCAAGGTGAGACGTATGAATTCATGTAGGTCTGCTTGGTATTTGGAGCAAATTTCATGATTCTGGCTTTAAGTAATGATACAGAGGCCTACTAAGGCCGTGCCACAGCTCAGCCGGTTAGTCGCCGCTTCCCACCGCGTCGGCCCGGTTTCGATCCCACTTCAAGTTTTGTGGAATTTGTGGTGGACAAAGTGGCGCTGGGACATGTTTTCTTCTGTTTCCCCTGCTAAATCTAATTCCATCAAATACTCCATACTCATCTATCATCTGCGGTTGGTACAATAGGCCAGTTAGTGGCCGACGAACCAAGGAGGCTTAGTCTCACCCCACCCCAAGAAACTAAAAAGAGAAAAAAGAGGTCTGCCAAAGAGATACGCTTTGTACTGCCCCGAAATCTGACCTGAGAAACTCTAAATGAAACGTCACAGAGCGAACCTGGCCTCGAGGTCGTGACAGAATGAACCGAAGTAGTAGGCTGTGGTCATTTTAGATTTTCCCCCTTCTGTATACTCGTAAATCAACATAAAATGGCGAGCATCCTGCAGAAACACATTCCCCGTAGCCACGACTCAGCGTATTGGGGTGGGGGTGGCGAGTTATTTCAGAATTCTATATAGATTTCTAAAAAAGGCAATTCAATACCAAACACTCAAAACGTCCACCGAAATAAAATCACATATAAAACACGTCAAAAAAAAGTGTTATGGCTGAAACTCTTGTGTGTGTGTATATGCTACCATTCATTTTAAAAACAAATATCATGGCATGTGTGTATTGGGCGCCACCCCATAATGTATGACAGTGGAGCATCTAGTATGTCGTACGCCTGTGGTTCAATAAATAATGGAGCCATCGTGCGTTTCTTGTCCTGGCGTTAGCCAATATTTCAAGGGTAGGAGGAAGGGAGCTGACAGCCCAGTAGCGGCAACAGCAAGCTCATGGTTTCTGCCTGCTTGGAACTGAAAAATGTTATCATCAATCGTTTTTGAAAAGGGGGAGGTTATATGGTGGGGTTGACAGATTCGGAGAGAGAGGAACTCACCCCCATCCTTTTACTCTATGATCTCCTAGCATATAGGCGATACCGTTGCTTATATGTATAGCACACACACACACACACACACACACACACGAGGAATCAATCAACGTCTGGGCTGCCATGGGACTCCCTACTTGTTAATCGAAGTCTGCATACACAATATGAGGCTTTATAAAATGAATAAGTGAAAAACATACATCAACGTCAAAACATCCGTGCTAGCTTGAAAACGAGAATGAATGTACGTGTCTGTATATTTGAAAAGATGAATGAAAGAGAGACATAACCCTTTCAGTATATTTATTTAAAAAAAATAACACACTGAATAATTCATCCAAGTAAAGTACCGGCAGTTTAATACGACCATTAAATTTCTTTATAAGTTTAGATAACAGTTTGTATAAGGAAACAATAAATAATTTACACATGTAAATTACATTCACTTCTGTGTCGAGCGATGCCGCTTATTGTGTTGCATTTAGCCTGTACGCCGCTGTTGCTCACAACACATATTTATACAGCCTCTGTCTCACACTATATGTCTATATAGTTGTATGTTGTGGCGATGGTGATGATAGTGGTGGTGTTTTGTATGTGTGAGATGGACCCCTACTGTACGTTTGACGGCGCACCGCCTGTTGTTGCTACATACACCCACGTGACGACTGATATGAAGCACCTGCGCATGTCCCAAATAAACATATCTCTTAGTGAGAATTACTGCTGATGATTGGAGCGGTACAAACGCAACTGATGCCCTGCCTCCGTCTTCAGTCCAGCTGTCAGCTTACTGAACCTGCATTCGTGCCCGCATGTAGGCCTATTGCATGCATTTTAGACGTACAGCAAAATGTCAGACTGAAGTGAGTGCTGTGAGGAATATAGTACGTGTCAATAAATGAAAATATTGCGGATGGTCATACAGAAACCATTAAAGGATGAAGTTACACGTTCTATAATAGAAGAAGTTTGAGGAATTGGACCTGTGGAAAACACGGGATTTTCAGTTCAGAACCTTTTGTCTTCTTTACAGCATTATGCTGTGAAGTCATATGGCGGAATGGAGGAACACCTCCACCTTTCTTGACGTCGGTGCTAGATGGAGGTGAGTGGTCAGCTTCACGCCACTGCCGCTTTACACCGCGGGAAAGAGGCCCCAGTACCCATTGGATAGGAGACTGGTTCGGCCTCAGACTTGTGTTCTCCTCTGCCGTCTAAAAACGTAAAAATTCAAATATATAAAATTATCGTCCATGATATGTAAGCATTGCCTGCCATTAGGCAATGAAATAGATTGACGTAAATAGAGCACCTGATGATGGCACTGTAGTGCCGAAACCTGTTGTGAAGTAACAAGAAAATTGAGTGCACTAAGAGACGGACACTGCTTACATATCATGGACGAAGATCAGTGCAACAGGATGCTAAAATACAACAATATAAAATTATAATTTTCCTGTAGTTTTGTATGGATGTGAGACTTGGTCTCTGGCATTAAGGGAAGGACGTAGACTGATAGTAACTGAGAACAGAGAGCTGAGGAGGATATATGGACCGCTGAGGGATGAGATAATAAGAGGTTAGGAAAACTGCGTCATGAGAAGCTTCGTAACTTGTACTCCTCATTATATTTAATTAGAATGATGAAGACTAGGAGGATGAGATGAGACAGGACATGTAGCACGCATTGAGGAGATGCGGAATTCGGGTTAAATAAATTGTTGGGAAATTCTTGAGTATCTGAGCGACTGGCAGTTTCTCAAGAAGAAAGAACTCAAATGCATGGAGTTGACTGGTTGGTTGATTGGTTCATTAGTTAGTTGGCTAAACAAATGGATTAATAACAGAATGAATGAACACATTGCTCGAAAGGAGGGTAACCGTCTTGTGAGAAAAGTGAGAGACTGTATTCCAAACGGGAGGAGACAATTGGGAAAACCAGAAATGAGGTGGAAGAATACAGTCAAGCAGGAAGACTGAATGGATGCAACGGGCTACAAAGCTTATCTTAGAAAGTAAAAGGAAGGTGTCCAACAAATAATTATAATATTGGATTTTTTAGTTATCATAGCTGTGGGTATGAAGTGTCTGTTTTCTGGGACATGGCGCTGTGCAGTCTGTTGAAAGTCAACCGACGTTTCGGTGGAATATACTGTTTCCATCTTCAGGTGCGAAAAGTAAGCCAAGCAATAAAGTATTATGAAGCAAGTATGCTTCATGCTTGGCTTACCCTTCAACACTGAAAATGAAGGGGAGATATGTTCCTCCTGTAAGTCGGTTGGCCTCGCTAGGACTGTAAAACGTTATGTTCCATAAGATAGAAATTTTAAGTAATCACTAGGAATTTAAAACTGTTTATGTAGAAGTACGTAATGTCTAAGGGCATGGTAAAATGGAAGAAAAAAAATATTCCGAAATTATGTAGTATAATTTTTAAAGAGTGCTTAATCTAAGACACGCTCTAGAAAACCGCAATTAACGGCCGTGAGGTTTCATTGCGCTGACGACGCGACACCCTCTATCCGCTAAAGTTGGAACCAACTTCGCCGACAAGCCGCGGTCACTCGGTCGGTATTATTTCGCTTGCGGACTAAAACCAAGGAAATTGTTTTTGTTTGTTTTGTTTTTTGCTTAGTCTAAGACAGTGCTCCTGTTGTCCTAACATTCCCGAATAAACCTACAGACTGTATCTGATGAGAGATATTTAGTTCAATTTTAATTTTACTTAACTTCGTTTTGTGATTTTAACAAAGATCTTGATGGAAAGCAAGAATTTGTCTGAAGAAGTTAAACGAAGTCTAAGACACTTCCTCGCTTGCATAAATTACATCTCATGAAAAGAGAGGATTGTGAATGAAAAACTTGAACAAAATGAATGGAAACAGTCGTGGTCTGTTTCAAGGTTTTATCTTAACATTCGCATGGAAAGAGTAAGTAAAATGTTTATTTAATTTGTATGTGTTTCATTTAACGTCCTGTCTAGAAAACCGAGATTAACGGCCATGTGGATTCGTTGCGCTGACCACACGACACCCTTTATCCGCTAAAAAGTTGGGACTAACTTCGCCGACAAGCGGCGTTCGCTCGATCGGTATAGTTCGCTTGCGGACTACAGACCACGGAGTTTTTTCTTTTTCCGTTTAACGACGCGTTCAGTATATCAGACTATAGGCCTATAACTTTATACGATTACTGAAGTGGCTGGAGGAACGTGGACGAAAGCTGTCTTTTATTAATAGTGTCACGATTTGAAGCCTTGCACGTTACTCATAGACGGATTTTGGATTGGATTATTGGATTTATTGACACCTTATGCACACAACTCGGGACTGCAGGCAATACAGCGTTATCGCTGATTTACACACTATCAGTTCTCCGTTACACACGCATTAGGGTTCTCAGTCTTCACTAGTCGTATCCTGGCAACGGATTTATAACCGCCTCACTGTAACTTCAAATCACACATGAAGTCTTCTTTTCACTGCCTAATTCTTTTCTTACCATTATCCTGCAGCTGCCACTTCCGAAGACTCGACTTACTTCAATCCATCTGCTCCAAAGCTCATATTCTGGCAGGCTGGGGTCTCGAAACTCGACTGATTCTTCTCAACTGAACTCTTCTTTATAACCACTTTGCACGGACCACGCAGAAAACACAGCCTTTCTATTGTTGAGGATGCATGTTTACAGCGTCATTGCATAGCAACGGAAGTTACTCGATTGTTTCTTGCGTATTCGTTGCCTCCGGAATGTGTTTACCGAGTCGTTGCCTAGTACTGAACGTTTATTCTGACTCCACTATTCCGGCTTACGGGCGTCAGTACACAGAAGAGGTGCTACCTCGGTATTTGCCTGGAAGGACTTAGAAAACAGCGAAGAGTAACAATCAGGTTAGTCATATACCAGCTGAGATTTTAACTAGGCACCTCGTTACCGTCTAAACTGCCTTACTCAGTGTGTGTACAGTAAGAAACAGGTTCACGGTACCACCGGATGAAGAACGTTTTGCAGTCGATTTCCTTTTTCCTTTGCCTTCAGTCCGTCCGATTTGTCAAGAAACATTTCGCTGATTCATGTATTTGAAATCCGCAACATTTCCAAATACGATTTGTCATTGTTTGTACATTTATCATTTGAGAATCAAGTAAATCCATGGCACAGCTTTCAGTCAGCGTACACTCGGCTCTCCACAAAGTTGTTATGTGCGGCTGTGTCCCGTCTAACACCAGTGAGATACAAGCGATTATGTTGCTACGTAGAAGTAGGAATGAGAGCTACCCCACCTCTCCTGTCCGTCATTTCAACAGGGGGAGTGAGAGAAAATCTATGGGAGTGACTATGAGAGTGAGATGGTATTGCAATTAGCGGGAGCTTCAACTGTCACTCACTTGACATGTTGGTGCAAACTGCGTTACGCCAGTGTATGCTGGGATTGCGCGCGCACACGTACACACACATAATGAGTTACCAGTGCTGTGTCGTATTTTGGTCTGCCTGTGCTTGTAATTGCTCTTGTCAACATGCATTACCTTGTGCTCAGCATCCAGGTCTGTCATAAGCTGGAGTGAAACATCTCCGTACCACATGTTACTGATATTATGTTCTGTGTGATTATTTTCATAAATAATAGACATAGGAAACTAACAAATCATACACGGATGGCGTTAATTGTACTCAACCTGAGACATGTGAATACGCCATCCTTTGGCTGAATATATGTATATACACACACACTTCACTTTTAACTCAAAATTAGAGCTACAGAAAATTGTATGACTTATTATATAAACTCTAACATAGAATAGTAATAGAGGAAATTTCTCTTTAGAGAAATTTCAAGGAGGTGTAAAGGGTAAAGATTTTCCTGTACCTAACTAAGCACCGCGCCACGAAGACGAATGGAGAAATGCGTTTTTGATCCAGCATTAGATGGAGATGAATGGTAAACTTCGATCCTAAGGCCGCTTTACCTGCCATAAAGAGGCCCTCGTGTCCATTGGATAGGAAGCTGCTTGGGCCCCAGAGCCGGTCTGGATAGTGCAGAGAGGAGACGAATATCTTAAGCCTGCCCGGAATCTACCCCAGATTCACCGGTCTTCCGGTCCGTAGCCTTGTGACTATACCATCTACGCTATCCCGGCTCCCTCACGAGAGTGTATATAAAACCTATCCATTTCTGTTGTCAACATTTAGCTGTTTCTTGTTAAGGGCCAGAATTTCGTTTACTGAAATGGGAATAAGACCATCAGGTTCTTAAAGGAAGGAAGGAAGTCAGTCAAAATGACTTTGAAGGAACAGCCTGCAAGTTTGTCAGCGTGATATTGCAGGAAGAACCAAAGTAGAGTCTATCATATGCTGAGAAATGTTGTAGTGCCTAATACATTATCCAGGGGTGTGTGTCGTTATAATCTAGGGGTTGCAAAAATGTAATTTTAAGGGAAGTGATTAAATTACTGTATAAGGGACGGTACGTTTCAAATTTTTGTATGGGTGAATTTTTTTTAACTGTCACTGATCAACCAATCCTCTCCTTCGTACTCAGCCCTCTTCGAAATCGAAACATGTATAAGTATGACCAATTGGCATACTGAGTTTCTCAGTTTGTTCTTAGGATTGTAGATGAAGCATTCGAAGATCCCCTCTTTATCCATGAATACGAACATAGGACCAGATGTATAACGTCTCTCCTGTTCTTCAGATGTCACAGAAAATGAAATATGTCCATTATGTCTAAAAGGTATTTCTAAACAACTGGTCCACTTTTCAGCCTGTGCCAGAAATTGCTGCAGAGCTGCATGGCGGTAAATATTTTGCATGCAGCTGTTGGTTCACATGCCTCGCAGTCACTGAGCTGATTTACACACGAGTTCGGAATATCTGTGAGTCCTCTTAAGTAATGTAAGGGCGCTGTGAATTCTAAAACAAATGTACATGTCTCCCGAGGAACAGTGCGATCCGCAGGGCCATATTTCAGATGTTTTAATAGAAAATCCACTTCCACTAACTTACACGATAATTGTTGGCTACGTTCTGTGCAAGAAATGCCTTGCGAAGAAATTCTTATTTGCACTGCGTCTGCATTTAGCAGCTTCGAAACTCTTCTGC